GTGATTGATTACTGTGGATGTGGATGCTGCACCTGCCCTGGCACAGGTAATTTGCATTACAGTGTAAGGTGGGAAGAGAAGTTAGCTGCTTGAACTGCTGCTACTCCCTTTGCGCTCTTGCTTTTTGTCACCATCATGAAAGGTTGCTCTTTGCCTTGGGCTGATACGCCTTGGAGCCAGATGAATATGGGACTGAAACCTCCAGTAACTGTGAGCTAAATAAACCTTTCCTTCCTTCATTTTGAGTGTCAGGTATTTGTCCCAGCAACAATAGAAGAGTAACTAAGACAATCACTACACTCTTATAAAGGGAACATTTCCAAGAGAAAGAGGTAACAATCTTAAATATATATATGCAATAAATGCCAGCACACCCAGCTAAATAAAACAAATATTAATGAACATGAAAAATCACATAAGCATTAACACAATTGTATTGGGGGATCTCAATACACTATTGTCACAACTAGACAGATCAACTAGACATAAAAAAATCAACAATGATATGTTAGAACTAAGGGCCAGGGAGATAGCTCAGTAGAATAAGTGCCTGCCTGGCAAGTGCAGGGTCCTGAGTTCAATCCCCAGTACTGAAAAAAGAAAGAAAAGAGAATAGAACAGAAAGAAGAGGAGGAGGAAGAAGAAGGAAGGAGGAAGAAGGAAGGAGGAGGAGGAGGAAGAAGAGGAGGAAGAGAAGGAGAAGGAGAAGGAGAAGGAGAAGGAGAAGGAGAAGGAGAAGGAGAAGAAGAAATAATGTTAGAACTGAATCTAACTTTTGAACAAATAGACTTAGTCGATGTCTATGGTGTTCACCTCTACACCATCAAAACACACATTCTTCTCAGCTACACACAGGGCATTCTCCAAAACAGACCACATATTAGCTCACAGAACATACTTTAGTAAATGCAAAGGAACTGAAATTATCTCATACATATTATCAAAGCACATGTAGTGTAATTAGAAACCAATGGCAAAGGACACTACAAGAACTTCATAAACACTTGGAAATTAAATGATATCCTCCTGAACAACCAATGGGTCACAGATGAAATTAAAGAAGAAATTAGACAGTTTCTACAATCAAACAATAATGCCAGTATAACATACTGGAACTTATGGGACACAATGAAAGCAGTTAGGGAAATTTATAGCAGTGAATTCCCGTATCAGAAAAAGAGCGAGCTCAAATAAATAAGCTGACATTGAAACTCAAGCTTCTACAAAAAGAGCAAGTCAAGTCCAAAGCTCACACAAAGGAGGAAGTTATAAAACAGAGCAGAAATTAATGAAATAGAGACAAGAAAACACTACAAAGAATCAATGAATTCAACAGTTGGTTCTTTAAAAGGTTAAATAAAGTAGTTCAACTCTTAGACTTTCCTTATTAAAAAAAAAAAAAAGGAAAGAAAGGACTGAATCCCATGCAATTAGAAATGAAAAGGGTGAAATCACACCTGGGGTCCTGGAAAAACCAAAAAACTTATTTATATCTCCTTTAAGAATTTGTAGGGGCTGGAGAGATGGCTCAGTGGTCTAAGGCACCTACTTGGAACAAGCTTGATAAAGCACA